AACTATGTGTATCTGAAAAAGTATGGAAAGTTTAGCAAAGCTTAGAGTTAGTATAGCCGATTATAAAGTAGATAGCCTATTGTTAGTTAGAAAAATATAAATAGCTTACCAATATAAGCTGAGAAGACAGAGCTAAATATATAGGGAAAACAGTCCTCATTAAGAATAGAATTAAGAGTTAGTGATATATCAAAGAAACAGAATGCAATAAAGAGATACTTACCTTTGGCCAAGTTAATTACTATGCATCTACCTTTTTTAAGTGTTCTTTATAGGAGGTATTCTCTTCTTTGTATTGTTTGTGAGTATTTGTGAGTTATTTGGGTTATGCAAGGCACTACAGATTAGTGACAGACTTGTCGGGTTTATCTATGGTATCATTGAACAGCTTATTTCTATTCCAAAAAGAGGGGGCTAATGTACCAAGAATTTACCTGAAGTATTCAGTACCACTGATATTGAGAACTACTTATGTAGAGTCTTAATTCCATTAAAGCATAACCAAAAATTTTTAAAAAGAAAAAAAAAGTTATGTTCAAGTCGAGTTTTATCTGAAGGGATGTAATATTGTTTAGCTGGTTATTATAAGTGGTTCCAATGAGTGAATGGGAGTATCAAAACTCCCTCAAAAGATATTGGCTCTAAGTATATGGCTGTGTTTGCTAGAGAAAGCTTGAGGGAGTTGGGATTGTTATCTATTCATGGTAGCCCAATTCAGCCTTGTTCTTTCTGTATAGCTAGTAATGCTATAGTTTTCATATCTTGTATCCACTTGTGTGACTGGTATACAACTTATAGTGGATCCCAGGTTTTTATAGATATTGAGAAAAAATATTTAAACATATGAGATAACCAATGGGAACTTGTTTACATTCTTTTACTGATGTGTTTTCTGTTGGCCAATCATTGCATAAGAAACTTTGTGTTACTCAAAATTTAGGGTCAAACTGAAGTATGTAAAATTTTTTAAAAAAACTGAAAAAGAGTACTTTTAGAGCCAAAGCATAACAAGAGAGTGAATGGTTGCCTTTAAGATAAGTCTTATATTACTAAAAAAGCTTTGTATTGTTTCTTTAATAGGTGAATAGATGGCAGTACTACAGTTCTGCTTTCTTTCAAAACTTTCTTGCTGTTGGTAGGAAAGATGTTTTATGGTTTTGGTTATTGAATGCCATGTTTTGTCTGAAGAAGATTGTTTGCAAGAGGAAGGAGGGGATAAGTATAACTCTTAAAGTATTACTTCAAGTTGATTTAGGAAAAGTATTAAAATTTTGTTAGTCAAGAAGTATAAAAACTTCCTGCAAACATCTTTTTGAGTGTAGTTAGAGGATCAGTGGAAAAAGTTATGTTTAAAAATTTTTATTAAAAAGATAAATATATATGATTATACTTAATTTTCTAAAAAGATATTTTTTAATATAATATTTTGTATTTAATAATTATTTTATTAATTAAACGATTACTTATGATAAAAAAATTTGTTAAAAGATTTGAAAAAACATTTAATATCAATTCAAGAATTTTAGTTTCTTATAAATAATACTATAATAATTTATATTATTATAATATAACATTATCAAAAGATTTATAAATTGAATATATAACTTAGAAAAGAAAAAATTTTAAAAAATTTAAAAATCAATAATAAAATTTAAAAAATGAAAATTATTAAATATAAGAAATTATTAATATACTGTATTTAGAAAGTAAAGAATATTAAATTTAAAAAAGTATATAAATAGATAAAATTTAGAAGTAATTAAAAAATAAAAAAAAAAGTATAAAAACTTAAACAAATTTTAGTAATTAAACTTAATTGTGACAAGTTTCAAAAAAGTTAAGAAAAAATATATATAAAGAAAAAAAAAAAGAAAAAAAGAAAAAGAATGAAGAAGAATAAAATAAGTAATAAATATTTAGAAAGTTGATAATTTAATAATAAATTTTATAAAATTTATTAAAAATTATCAACTTTTTAAATATTTATTAAAATTTAATATTATGTTATTGTATATAATTAAAAAGAGTTAATGAAAATAGAAAAAATCTATATAATATAATAAATAATCATTATTTTAAATTTTAAATATTTATATACAGTACTTAATAGTGGTTTGGTTATTCTACTTACGAAAAGTAATTATGTATATTGATAAATAATTTTTGACTAATATATCTTTTTGCAAATTTATTTGATATTACAGTAAACCACCAATTAAATATTAATTAAAAATCGTTCTTTGATTTGAAACAACTATTTAACAATTATTATTTTTAATCGACCGTTAAAAAGGAAAGCGCAATCGAATATCGTCGATCGTATTATAATCGGGTTCGCCATCGGTGATCGGTGCCTCGAAAACAAGTATGCTAACACGACCTAAGCAAAGTAATGAAACTTTTTAGGATGGCGCAAAAAAAAAAAATAAGGGGTGAAGTGATACCGTAAGAGCGGGGAAATGAAATTAAAAGTGGATAAAGATAGCTAAGAACAGTGTCGAGACGTGAGGATCTTTCAGAAGTGATCACGATTTGTGCAAAGAAGCTTGTATGGGAAATTCATGCCAGGTCGTTACAGGTCTAACTCTTGTTTTCATGTTACGCAAGTGAACGACTGACTGGCTCGTCGTTAGCTTGAAAGTATTCTTATATAATAGGAAAATAATGGTTAAATGTAAAATTTATTAATAAGACCTGAACGAGTTAGTAAGCCACGCCTTGCGATTGATCGCCATAATGCGCGCGCATTTAATAGGAATCAGTTAAAAGGAGAATTAACATATCACGCATCCATCCGCTCCCTGAATTATTCCAAATTCCGGGGACGAGCAAAAATTCGGTTCCGATGAATAATTTATTGGTTCTTGACATGAGAACTAACGCCATCGCACGGTTGTAAATATCTTTGAATAAGCAGCGAAAATAATATATTTTGTCATAAGATTGGAGATTCGGTTTTTATAGTATACAAAAGGCGAAACATTGCACGGGCGTGTGTATGTTTTGTAGTAATGTTTGTTTGTTGAAGAAATTTTTTTTTTAAGCTTTGACCCGGTTCGACATCAAAGTTTAAACCATAACCCGTTACAATGAATGAATCATGCATGCGTTAACATTTATGTATGCATCGGTAATTCGTGCGGGCATATGAACTTGCATCACCGCTCCTCCCCTCTGTCAATCGTGATCATTTTTTAATTTATTTAAACAGACCACCTACCTTGTTCCCGCACTTATAATTAATTAGACATGGCGAAAGTTTAAAAGTTCTTCTTTTGGAATAGACGGTCCCAAAGGAAACACTGACCACCAATTGCGTGTTTAGTCTCATTAACTGTCGGTTAATTAATCCTTATATATCGGGTCACCCGCGGGGTTTTTTTTCGGGTAATTTTATGTGTTAGGAATTATCGCAAGTTTCGGTTCAACACCAATCAACTAAAATTAAAATCCACCAAAAATTGGTAACATACGCACGAAAATTAATCACACATGTATAGATGAACATAGAGATGAGGATGTATAAAAAGACTTGAACGAAACCCTGCAATCCTTTACCCCCTTTAATATTGACATCATACTTTGTTTTAATTCTCTTAATTTTTTATTATAACGTGAAAACTCCAAAAGCCCTTTAAAGCATTAAATAGAATGCCATCGTCATTCCATTTAAATTTATTAATATTGAGCGTTATTTTATTAATAAATCCAATTGGAAATGTATTATGTCAGGACCTGCATACAACTACCGTGTTTCCACGTGGATACGATGACGTACCCAATCGTGAGTATTGCGAGAATAACAAAACAATCGACTCAACGACCATATGTTTTTCCTCAGTTTCATAAAATTAAAATTTTTTATCTTTCTTCCGGTGAATAGATGATGTGGCAGGATTCATAATATTGTTCACGGTTGCATTTTTGTTCATGATTTTAGACCTAGTCGGAATTGTGTTCATACTGGCGCGAATATACATCAAATGGAATGGTACAGGAAGGACATTGTCGATAGCTTTGAGATTTCCCCTTTACTTAGGAATTTTAAGTAGGCAATTAATATATTTGCCATCATCTGTTTAGGTGAGAAACAAGAGAGGGACGTTTTGCTAATTAGAACTTTGCCCTTGTGTGTGTAGATTTCTTATTGTGGATATTTCAACTTGTTAATTTTGTGAGTAGAGATTTTAAACCTTGGTAAAATCGTATCGAGATTCTTTATCGAATAATCAACTAATGATCAAATAAAGACATACACAGTGATTACCCACACACCATGGCCCGGAAAATCGTGCTTTGCCATAGGCATTATGTCGACTGCTGTCACTCTCGTGGAAAGATTCATGGTTGCCCTGGTTGCCATCACCACATACTTAAGGTAACCGTTCGCACCTTCGACGCCTTTACATACTATTTGTCGTTAATACATGACATGACATTCTTTTATATTGGGGAATAGAGTGTGCAAAAGAATCTACTGGAATTATGGTAAAGGTGATTGGAAACTATGGGTAACTTCAGGAGGGATTGCATTGCTCATTTCAGCCTTGGGCTATTCCCAATACGGTCCCTCCTTATATTGGTGTGCCTCCATTTACTTAAAGTCTTCTTTTTTCGATTTTATTTTTTTTTTCTTTTATTTATTTACTTATTTATCGTTTTTGTTTATTTATAGGTGCGCCACAAAAATGAGTTCGCCGTATGTTATCTTGGTCGGAACGGTAATGTCTGTTATTGTATTATTGGTATGCTCCTATTGTTACTTTCGAACCATCATGGAGATACGGGTTGCCACAAAGAAGGCCTCAATCATTGGTGCGGTTCCTAAAAATAACAACAATAATCCTCCTAGAGGTCGTCAGGGATCGACAATGGCACGTTCGATCTCGGATTCTAGAAGTTCGGAGATTGAGGCTAGAGTTACAAAAAAAGTTATGGGATATATACTTGTGTTTATTCTTCAATGGGTGAGCAGTTGTTTATTGATGCGTATATGCGAAACACGGATGCACGTGATTATTCTAATTTAATCTTTACCCAAGTTTCCTACTATTCCTTATGACATCTATGAATTCTTGGATGTAAGCAATTCACTCATCTCTCAAATTCAGACGCGAGATGAATTTTCTTATTGACTTCTTTTTTAACTTGATATTTTAGATAAACACGGCTTGGGTGTATGTGCTAGTCGTAATAGCAATTAACATGGGGGTAGATGTTTGTTTTTGTTTGAATTATTCAAACTTTTAAAAAGTATTTTCAAAATATTAACTTCTGTCCATCAGGGTATAGGAAATGCAGTATGTTATGTGTTGAATGAAGGTTGGAGTCTTCACAGTAATAATTCTTCATTGAATACTGAAGAGAGGGGCGATACAGGGCGAACCCTTTCATCGAATGTTAAAAATAAGGAAAAGGAAAACAATAATAGTGTCAACTCCACATCCCTGCAAGAACACTTCACCGAAACTGGACACTCACAAGCGGTGATGATCAACGATGATCAACAAGATCTCTGTCATGTTTAATTCCTCTGGCGAGGAGACGCGGATTTTATACTCCGCTCGATTGCACAGATAGCTTCTTAATTTAGAAATTCACCATTTCTACACCGCCATTCGCTTTTTCTCCGAAACCTTAATCTCTCAATCGTTGTAAGCTTTGAAACTGCAACACCTGCGTGACAATAAATACAGTATACTGTATTTAAGAAATTTAAAAATCACGCAAAGCCATTTGAGCAGTTTTCGATATGCCGAATAAAAATAATTATGTGGAACGTTAGATGATTAATGATAACCAGTCGGATTACTAACATTCGAGGTGTACGCGAATTGATATATACACTGTATATATTATTAATTTGCGGTGTACAAAGGTTTTGTAAAATATGTAATAAAGATTTATAGAATTTAATTTTTCATAGATTATTCTTAAAATCCGAATATTGTATATTTGTACGATATCAAGATCTACTCATACCGTGCTTCTTTTTAGTACCATACAATATAAGAAACTAGTACGTGACCGAATGATGTTACCAAATATAATCCTTATATTTAAAATTAACAAATGCCTTGCATCTCGATTAAAAAATTAAATCGTATCTGTATGTTCTTATTTATGAGTATTTTATATAATTCGAATGTTATTTTTTAAAAAAAAATGAATTTCATTTACAGTAATATACTGTATATATAACTTTAGAGCATTAAAATTTTTAAGTTATGTAGTCAATTTTTCAAAATTAATTCAATCATCACAAACAAACTTAGGTAAGAATCCGTTAATAGGTTACATTTTTTTAAAGAAATTTTTTAATATAAAAATTTGAGGTGATTATAATATAGCCCGATAATTTGTAAGATCGGAAAATTTTTAAAAATTATTAAATTAGAATTTTGAGTCTTTTCATATGTTGTCAAAAAATTTAATACATTTTAATAAAATACTAGTTAAGAAATTCATTTTAGAATTTTAACTTTGATGCCCTAAATATTTTTTTTCAAAAAATAACTATTTTACTATAAAAATCAACATTTTAAATATAAATAATTATTTTTTTAAAAAAAAAAATCCAAAAAACTCTTTTCACTGATCCTCTGATCACACACAAAAAAGATGTTCACAAGAAGTTTTTACACTTCTTTGCTAATAAAGTCTTAATACTTTCCTTAAAACAACTTGAAGTATGACTTCAAAAGTTACCTCTACCCTTTTTCTTTTGTTTACAAACCTTTTCACCCAAAAACTTAACTTCTAATGATCAAGAAAAGTCAAGTAATACCTTTGATACCAATGGCAAGAAAGTTCTCAAAGAAAGAAGAACTGACTGTGAAGTATCTGAAGGCCTATCTAACCTTTGAAGTGAGAGGCTTATAGAGGTTTTCTGTAATAAAAAGATTTATTTTTTTTGATTATATTCTCATGTTCTGATAACATCATTGGTGATTAGAAAGAAAATTTCAGAAATATTTGTCTTCAAAAGCCCAAGTCCTTTAATATAATACCAAAAGATCAAGTAATGGATAATGTAAATTGCAAACTCCTATCTCTTATCTAAGTTCCTCAAGTGATGATTAAGCTTTATTGAAAAAAAGCCAAGGTCTAAATACTTTCCTTGAGTTATTTTAATCCAGTGCTCACTTAAATGAAAAAAAGTTAGATTGATCCATCTGATGCTGCAGATAATAAAAAAAAAATTTCTTTCGAGATTCAAGTAAAGCAAGAAGACTTTCAATTAAGCAAATCCCTTTTGAAAAGAAATTGTTTTTATTTTTGAATTTTTTTGTTGGATCTTGAATTGTTTCTTTTCTCAATTATTTTTCCCTTTCTTCTTTTTAATTTAATAATTTGTTGATTTTTGGGCAATTAATAGTGACAAACTATTGACAATAATCCTAGTAGATAGAAATCATTATCAATTTATCAGAGAAGTATAATATTGTTCCCAAAATCCAATTTAGAATATATATATATAGACAAGTTGATCATTTTGTGAAAGTTTGTAAATTATTATAGATTTATTTTAATTTCTCAATAAAGACAAGCCATTATGGCATAATTGCTGATTAAAAAAAATTTTTTTTTTTGTGATATTAAAGTTGAATAGAATTTAATTTTTTAATTATTATTTTATTAAAATATATTAAATTTTTTAATAATAATATAAATAATTTTTTAAAAATTTTTGATCTTATTTTTTTTAACTATCCATAATAGGACAAGTATTGTATATTTATTAATTAATATGAAAACCAATAGAGATATATATGACAATTGTATCATGGTTAAACTAAATCTTGTATTGATTCACTTATCAATGATTTTCAATTTTCAAATAAATTTTACTTTGGAATAAAGTTTGAATAAATATCCTTCTAACTTATCTATTATTGCTAGCAAATTATTATTGTTTACTATCTTTCAAGGAACTAATTTTAAGAAACTACAATAGAGAAAAGGAAAAATAAAAAGAAGAGAAATATTTAAAATATACAAATATACATATATATTATATTCTTCAAAGAACCTTTACTAGAAATCTTCTTTTATTAAGAATCAACTTTTCTGAGATATTCTTTTTCTTCTTGACCATCTGAAGGACTTATTGATCTGTGACCTTGATTATTTTCTTATAACTATCTGAAATACTTATTACCTATTCAGATTCAATGTCTTGCTCATTATTTTTTTTCTTTCTGTATTAATTTTATATTCATTTGTACAGATCTTAATGACTTATAATAGACTCTAGATTTTTATATAACCTTTTAGTCATGTTGTATAACTCCAATATTTTCTAGTAATTATATCTAATTAAAGGAATTTTATTGATAAACATCTTCCATTTCTAAAAAAGTCAGATTGCCTAACAATATTTTTGCCTTGTAATAGTAAAAAAGTATCACAGAATAACAAGAATTCTCATTGATTATAATATTATTATACAATATCTGAAAAAATGCATTCTTAATCTTAGAGAAGATTAGTAGCTCACAGTCTTCTACTTTTTAGTTTTACTACCTAACTAAAATAAAGAAATAACCTTCTTTATATATTTTATCTAATCTGAATAATAGAAAATTAAAGATTTCAGTTTGAATAAATAATTATTTTTCATTACCTAGAGAATTTAGTATCTGTTTTAATGGTTTTATGATTTCTTTACTTTGATTACACTTTATTTGAAATAGAAAATTTTGCATCAATAATTTCTCTTTCTTTTATCAATAATATTATTGAAATATATATAGTAAATATGACTAGTGGAATCTTGTTTACATTTTGTTATCAACATGTTTTGTGATAACAATTAGAAATTAGATGACATTGTGCTATCAGAAATTCAGGATCAAACTGATATAGAT